GAGAGTAACGATACCAGGAGGGGAAGGAGAAGGTGGGGGGAGTAAGGGGGAAATGGATCACAATGATCGATCTATAACAATGATCGATCAGTGTAAGGCATGAAAATAATAATTTATGAAATATCTAGGGTTCATGAGGGAAGGAGGGTGGGGGAAGGGGGAAAATGAGGAACTGATACCAAGGGCTCAAGTAGAAAGAAAATATTTTGAAAACGATGTACAAATGTGCTTGGCACAATGGATGCATGTATGGATTGTGATAAGAGCTGTAAGAGCCACCATTAAAATGATTTTTTTTAAAAAAGAGGAATCAGCAAATGTAAGGTGGATGATAACCACATCAATGATTTATTTGAAATAAAGACCAGTCCCTGGTAAAGTAGAGGGTCAACAAAAACAGGGAAGGCCCTTGACCAGACGCATTGGCACAGTGGCTACACAGTGGGCTCAAACTTAACAACTGGTGATGAGGGCACAGGGCTGAGAGTGTTTCGATTGGTTGCACACAGGACTGGCAGCATTCAACAACAGCAACAACAATGTAACAACAAGTATCTACAGGAGTGGAGCTGTTCACAGTAAACTGAAAGAAAATCCCGACACTGAGGAGGAGGGAGGACCGGGATTGGGGAGGAGGGGATTGGGAGTAAAACTCCTCAGCATTTAGAGGAAGTGGTGGGCTCATCAGGGAGACAGTATGAGACAGAGTACATATGAGGGGGCAGTCCTATTTTCGCTTCTAAAAACAGTTGGAGACAAATGGAGAAAGCACAGTAGTTCAGATAGAAAACAATAGCTAAATGCCGACTTCAGGCAATTCCTCCTCTCTCATTGCCTCATCTGTAAAATCAATAATATGGAATATGATCTCCTTTAGGACATCAGCATTAATCAAGCACAGCACACTGTGTCAGAAGACTTCAAGATGGGACCACTACCTTGGTCCTCATTAGCTCCATGGCCTTGAGCACACTATTGATTTATCATTTTGAGACTCAGTTCTTTCCTCTGAAATAAACAGGAGTGACTCTAACGATCTAACTACCTTTATGATGACAGCATTATGAATTTCAGAAATGAAATAGGTCATTATTCTTCAAGAAGGTGTCTAAATTTTAACCTGAAATATCTCCTTCCTTCGCCAGCATTCCAGTCTATGTATGTTATAGGCTGAATGTCATTATACTATTTCGGCCACTTAAGATGAGGTAGGGCAAAGGTACTGCGACAAATAAAGGGATTCAGTCACGCATATTTCACCATTTTAAAGGCAAGTAGCCAAGAAAACTACACAAGAAAATTTCAGCATAAATTCAAGAACTTGGATATCACATAAATACAGCATAAATTCAAGAACTTGGATATCACATCCTTGGGCCGATAAATATGTTAAACCTTTCCAGAGGGTTTTTAATGGTTTCTTGATTTTTTTTTAATTTTCATTTTTATTTTACAATGCAATATACTACCCGAAAGGCCATTATTCCCATTGTAAGTAAATTGTATAACCAGACACTCTTTAGTTCTGAATATTCCCGGGTACATGGCCTCTCTGGCACGACAAAAGGACTCCATGTGTCTACTACTACCAACAACTATTGAATTTCTACTGCTTGCTTAGCATTGTACAAATTCTTTTATTCCGTCATAACGATACCGTGGTAAAAGTGGCATAATCCCAGGGACTTCTCATGAGTCACAGTAGGGGCTCTTTGTATTACCAAAAGAAAAAAAAAAGGGAAGAAGAAAGCAACTCCAAAAAGATTAGATTTTCAAAGAAAACGGACATTAGAATAGGTCCACTGAAAATGTTCACTTAACTCTAAGAATGACCACTATTCTTATACAAATATCAAATAACATTAATTACCAAAAGTGCATTAAGTAAATTGAGGCTATACCAAAGTAGAGTGAAAAAATCAGAAGGTGCTCAGCTATTAAGAAAAATAGCATCTGGGGTCTTAAGGGCTTGTCTCAAAACATGCAGCCATCTAAATGAAGTCAGTCACGTCCACCAGGTAGGAGCACACCAGCTAGTGTGATCCAAGAAGGAAAGAGCATTAGAATCTAAATTTTGAACACCCAGTTTGCAGAACATTACGAATGATATTGGAAGCCTAAAATCCATTTGCAGGGTCTCTATATGAACTGAGTCTAAGTGAATCCCCACTGACCACAGTCTGGGAATGTGAAAAGCCTTAACATCAGACAAAGAGCATGTAAGTGGGTTTTAGTAGCTGTAGTTAGGTTGGAATGCAACACTGTCATTACATCTCCCTTCTGGCCCATATTTAATTATTATTATTATTATTTTAATATCTTCTGCTCTCTTTTCTATGTTTCATTTGACGAATATTGCTTAGCCCTTTTTTTGTCTTTGTTTTGGATATTTTTCTACATAGGCAAGTCAGGATGGGTGGATCTACGAAGACAGCAACTGGATTGCTAGTTACCTGGAGCATGGAAGGAACAGTTAGAGGGAAAACAGCAAGGGGTACAAAGGAAGAAAATGTCCCAAAGTTGAGTGTGATGATGATCACACACACCCTCTTAATATGATTGAACTATTGAATTGTGTGAGACGTTAATTATATCTCGGTAAAACTTGAATCTAAAGTCAGCATTGTCTACAGAGAGAAGTAATTATAATACCAAAAGGGCAGAAAGCAAGAGGCAATTTGTTTCAAGTAGGGTTTTTCTTGAAATAGGGTTTTTCTAAACTGTCAAATTCAAGAGAAAATGTTATATATAAACTGTGATTCCAAAGGAAATAAAATCAGGCAGATCACAGAATCCTCAATGATGAGTCCGTTGGTGAAGTTTCCGAGAATAACTTCAGCCAGGTTATGTACTAAGCAGATCTTGTTCCCAAAGAGCTACTGAAGATTTGAACTACCAACCTGCAGTTAGGAGCTAACTGCTTGACCCGTTAGCTGCCGGCACTTCTTGATCTTTATAGAAATCACATTAATTTAAAAGTTTAAAAAACAAACAATAAAAATATCCTAGCGAACTGCATTCCAAGGGCAGGTTGAAAGCACTCCTGACTCATTCTGTTGTCAAACATGTAACCTTATCACTATTAGCAGCTCAGCAGGCTGTCCCTAAGCTTAGCATTATTACACTAGACCTTGCCAAAGTCAAAGAAATGGAGCATCTATGACTTGTGTCTCTTGGGGATCATCCAAAGAAATTATTTTTAACTGTGATTTACAAATTGGTAGTCTCTACAAATTATTTCATATTCATATTTGGAGTTCATACACTCGAATAATCTCCACCATCACTATTCTTCCCTTCTTTGTTAGAGAAGAGAGCCACAACCAACACCCTCACACAGTAATTCAGCTCTTGTCTCCTGACTGTGCTTACCAAAATAGCATTAAGCTAAAGTTGAATCTGACCAGTTTTGAAAGGATGATGCATTGTTTGTAGTAG